CCCTGCCCCTCGGGGAGGAGGAGAGAAGGAAGAGAAGCAGGAGAAGGCTTTCCTCCATCCCTCCCCCCATCCCCGGTCTTTCCCCGTCGTCTCCCTCTTCCCTCTCCGCCCGCTGCCCTTCGATTGCATGCCCCGCCCCTCATCGCTCCCCCACGACTCTCCGTTTGCCCTCTCTCTTGAAAACCTCTATTGGCCTCCCGATCGGATTCCCCCCGTTCCCCCTCCTTTACATCTCGCCTGGCCCCCCTCCCTTTCTCTTTGATCCCATCTTCATCGACCCCCCTCCTCAACCCTCCTCAACCCTCCTCCCCTCACGGCCCCTCCCGTTGCTCGACCCACCACTTCTTTGAATCCACCCCTCTCCAAATCCAATTCTCTAGAATCCCCCTTCGCTCTTCTCCTCCCTCGACCTCCCCTTGTCGAAGATCTCTCTCTCTCTCTCTGACCCCTTCTGGACCCCCCGCTTTCCCCCTCAATCACTCCTTTCTCCACGCCCCCCCTCGAACCCCCTTCCTTTTCCCACCCACACTCATCCCTCCGACAATCTCCTTCTAGGGGGAAGGAGCGGGGGAGGAAGGAAAAGGTAGAGGAGGAGGAGGATATAGCCTGTGGAGCAGGGGGAAGAGAGGAGGAGAGAATGAGGACATGAGGAGGTAAAGGAATGAACGGCGGTCGAGCGGACATGTGGAGGGCCAGGAATAGGAGGTGGAGCCGACGGCCGAGCGATGATGATAATGATGCTGTTGCTGATGATGATGATGTTGATGTTGATGTTGATGTTGCTGATGATGATGATGATGAGGAGGAGGAGGATGCTGATGCCAATGCCGATGCTGATGATGCTGCTGCTGATGATGGTGATGATGATGCTGATGCTGATGCTGCTGCTGCTGATGATGCCTTGTCTCAACAGAGTCGGGGCTCAGGGGGAGGAACGGCTCGGGGGTAAGGGGGAGAGCCCTCTGCCCGCGGCGAGCGCGTTCTTCCAGAGCCGCTGTGCTCCTACGCGCGCGCATGGACGGGCCACTCCGCTCCGCACAGCGCGCGATCGGCGGGGCACGCCTCCGCCGACCAACAATCGGCGAGCTCGGGACCAGGGCAACTCGGGAAGGCGAACCTCGCGAATTGTGGCGTGCCCATCTTCCCAAAGGCGCCCGTATTCGTCGTGCAGTACGTGGCGTCCGCATCCACGGGGTGAGAAACCGCATATTTCACAATGAGCCCGCGCTCAAGATTCGAAGTGGCTATGACAACGGCAGTCCCGTTAGCGAAATTGTTGACAATGTGGGCTACGTGGGCTACGCCCGCAAAGGCGGAGGCGTGCAGGTCGATGAAGAGAACGCTCACATCCACAGTAATGGCAGACTTCCAGTTGGCTGCTGCGAAATGGTCCCCATTTTAGCTGTGTCCGCAAGGGCAGTGGAGGTAGCATCAAAGTCGATGAAGAGAACCTCATCATCCACAGAGCTAGTATACTTCACGGTGCCCGCAACCTATATAATCGAAGTGGATATGACTATTACAGTGGAGTTAGCGAAATGGTTGACAATGAGCGCGGCACATCAAAGAACTACCCCTCACTGTTACTCCGTTGCAAGCGTAGGCGTCGGCGATGGCGTCTCGAATCCGCGGCGGCGAATACCAACTCGAATGCGACGAAATGCGCCTAAACCGCTGCAATCGAATCAGACGAACTTCGCCGCATGCGAATACATTGGCAACGAACACCTACCAAGTTTGGCAATGATGATGCTGATGCTGATGCTGATGCTGATGATGGTGATGGTGATGATGATGATGATGAGGAGGAGGAGGAGGATGAGGCGGAGGAGGAGGAAGGGTATCCTGGTGGCCTGTGTCGTCTTTGCCCCCCCCCCCCCTTACCGCTTCCCGCCTCCATCTCGGGCGCCCAGCGCTCCAGGGCGGTGCAATGACCACCGCCGCTCGCCGCGTGCCACTCGGGGGCTCCGCTGACGCGCGCTGCCGAGCGGCGACCCCACAGCGCTGCGCCTCCTCCTCCTCTCCCCCTCCTCCTCACGAGAGGAGGAGGAGGAGGAGGAGGACGAGGAGGAGGAGGAGGGGGAGGAGGAGGAGGAGGAATAGAATAATGTGGAGGAGGAGGAGGAGTAAAAGGAGGGAGAGGGAGGAGGAAGAGGAGGAGGAGGAGGAGGACGACGATGACGACGACCGTCGTCGTCATCGTCGTCCTTCTCTTCCTCCACTCTCCGTTCGCAGCGCTGCTCCTCCTCCTTCTCCTCCATTTCATTCCTGTTCCTTATAAATAGCTCCTCCCTGTCGCACCCCGAGCCTAGTCGGAAGGGCGGGCCGGGCGTTTCGCTGGAGGTTTCTCTACGTACCATTTCTTGGCCTGAAGCTAAACAAAGTGGCAACAGTTTCACAGATGGAGGGCAGCTCCTTTCCAAATTGTGGCTCTCGCCGTAGCGCCGCGCACACTGGTCTTGACAACTTGCAAGAGCTTCAGGGATTGAGGGGGGGGGTTCAACATGTGCCTCTCGCCTTAGCGCCGCTCACACTAGTTCTAAAGAATTGCAAGAGCCTGAAGGCTTGAGGGCAGGCCGTTTTCAGAATGTGGTTCTCGCCCTAGCACCGTGCATACTCGCCTTAAACATTTACAAGAGCTTCGCAGATTGAGGGCGAGTGGTTTTCACAACATGGCTTGCGCTTTCGCTCAGCCCAAATTCGTCTTACACAGCTACGAGAGCTTAACGGATTCCCCTGGTCTACGTACTAGACATGGTGTTTCGGAGCGATTCATAGAGACATGCGGATTGCGCCATAGAGACCTTCGGTGAAGCTCCGACTGGGGCCACGAAGCGTTGTATTGGGTGAGGGAACCGCGTGCGAACTGCGCCACTGTAACTTTCGGTGGAGCTCTCTATGGGGCTACGAAACGCTACACTGGGCGCAGGAACCGCATGCGGCTTGCGCCTCTGGGGCCTTCGGTGGAGCCCCCTTCTGGGGCCACGGAACGCTGCACCGGGCGGGGGAACCGCATGCGGATTGCGCCATTGGGACTTTCGGTGGAGCTCCTTTTGGGGCCACGAAACGCTTCACTGGGTGGGGGAACCTCATGCGGACTGCGCCACTGGGACTTTCGGTGGAGCTCCCTTTGGAGCCAGGGAACCGCATGTGGACTGCGCCACTGGGACCTTCAGTGGAGCTCCCTCTGGGGCCACGAAACGCTGCACTGGGCGCAGGAACCGCGTGCGGATTGCGCCCCTGGGACCTTCGGTGGACCTCCCCTTGGGGCCACGAAGCGCTGTGGCGGGCGGGGGAAACGCATGCGAACTGCGGAGGGGGGAGGAGGAAGAGAGGAGGACCGCGGGGCGCTGTCTCTTCCACATGAGAAGCCAACACCACAGGATGGTTGGGAAGACCGCATATGATCGATCACCTTTGGGGGATCCGATGTGTTTAAAAGCTGTACGCGGGGGGGGGGTGCAGGCTACGACCTTGGGGTCGTCGAAGAAAGGGGCAAGTAGTATTCATATTGTGTAATTGCCAATGACGAATCTTACAGATGATTGTTGGTCCACGGGCAAACGCTGATACCACCACCTTGCGCTATTCCCACACACACACACACCTGTTTCGGCCTCCTCCTCCTCGGATTGATGATGCTCCTCTTGTTCCAGCTCGTACTGGTCAAGCCGTTTCTCATCTGTCCTCTTCTCATTGTTCTTCTACTCGCCATCCTCTACCTCACGAGTCTCAACCTCCAGTTCCTTCTTTTCGGCATGAGCCTCCTAGCTACGTGGAGTCCGGTTCATACATGTCCTCGTCAGTTTCCTCCTTCCTGTCCGCATCCCTCATTAATCCACCCAGCTCCGCTGACCCCTCCCTCCCCTTCCCCATACTCCCTCTTCCGCCATCTTGCCATCATTCAAGCTTCCCTTCCCCCCCCACTAACCATACCCCCGACGTCGTGCTTCTTGCTGAACCTCGACGCCCCAGAGGTCTCGACCCATTTCCCGGGACCGGCTTTTCATCCTGAGTTGCGTTTTGACGGTCCCGAGGCCCGGTGAGGGCCCCCAGAGGCCGAAAATAGTGGAACGCCCCTCGCCGCCATGATTCCATGGCGCGAGGGGGTCTGGGTACCTCATTCTCTCAGCAACCTCTGTCTCCCGCTCCTTCCTGCCCTGCACCCCCGCCTCGCTGCCACACTTCCCCCCGGTGGCAGACCGCTTCCCCCCGGGGAGGAGGAGGAGGAGGAGGAGGACAAAGAGGAGGAGGAGGAGGAGGAGGACGAGGAGGAGGAGAATGAAGACGAGGACGAGGAGGAGGAGGAGGAGGAGGAGGAGGAGGACAAGGAGGTGCGGTCCTTGGACATCGCCGGCGAGAAATGTGAGCTCAAAGCCCTCAACGCCGCTGCGAAAGACTATCTATGTGTATGTATATATACATATATGTACATACACATCCGTACATATAAATACATACATACATACATACATACATACATACATACATTCATTTCTGTGTATATATACGAGCATGCAGAAGGAGGAGCAGTAGTGTCAGGCGCGGGCGCAGGGGCGGCAGCAGGGCCCGTCGGCCATGGCCAGGGGCGGCAACCGGAGCAGGACGGCGTGGAAGAGCAGCTGCAGCAGCATCTGCACGAGGAGGGGTGGCGAGCACGGGCGGCGGAGCGGGCTTGGGAGCAGACGATCTCCCGTCGCTCCGCGACAAGGCCACGCGCATCACGGTTTCTCCGCTCAGCGAGGGCGGGCCGCCGTGCCGATTCGACTTCGGCTCTTTGCCGATGCGGCCCGACCCGACGCTCGTTCGATCCGATCCGATTTCCCGATTCGATGCTGACCGATCCTGCCTTCGCGCGCGAGATGCGAGACTCCACTCCTACTCCGCCTCCCAGCCCTCCTCCTCCTCGTCTTCACCCTCCTCTATCTCGCTTTCCTCCTCCCCTTGCAGCCGCGCTCGGCCTGGAACGGCTGGAGCCTCTGCTCCTGCTCCTCCTCCCCCCCCGGACCCCCGCGCGAGATGGCCGCGGCGGAGAAGAAGGGCCTGCACAAGTTCTTCCACCTGCGGTCGTCGCCTCGGGGCTGCCGTCGCCTCCTCTCAGTTCCCTCGTCGTCCGCCTCTGCTCCCTCGCCCCCCCTTTGTCGTCCGCCTCCCCTGCTCCAGCGAGACGTGCTGACGCGATTGAGACAGCAAATGAAGCGTGCTGACGCGAGTGATATGACAAAAACAATCTATATCGTGGGGGGGAGGTCTGAATGGACACGCGGAGGAGGGGGCAGCGGGCAGGATGCGTGGCGTTGCCTCTTCGACATGAGGACCCATCATCAAAGGATGGTTGTGAAGCGATCGAAAAGCCCCTCGCTTGCAGCCGAGATCATCGGCCTCCCGCGCGGGGGACTCCGACGACGGCGGCGACGACGACGACGACGTCGCCCGGCGACGCAGTCGCCGACGCCGACGCCGACGACGACGGCGATGACGACGACGACGAAGCCGACGCCGACGCTGCAGACGCCGACGACGACGAGGCCGACGCCGACGCCGAAGTCGCCGACGACGACGACGCCGACAACGGCAACGACGACGACGCCGACGCCGACGGCGTCGCCGACGCCGACGCCGACGCCGACGCTGCCGACGCCGACGACGACGACGACGCCGACGTCGACGCCGACGCCGTCGACGACGCCGACGCCGACGCCGACGCCGACGCCGACGCCGCTGACGTCGCCGACGCCGACGCCGCCGACGCCGACGACGACGCCGTCGTTCGGCGACGGGAACCCGTAAAAGAACGGCGACGGAACCGGTAAAAGAACGGCGTCGGAACCGGCAACAAAAATGGCAAAACGGAACCGGTAAAAAAACGGCCTTGTCGTTTCCAGGGCCCACTACGCCCCAGGATGATGCTGTTCCAGCCTGCTCGAGCCTGGATCACCAGCAGGAATTTCCATCACCACGAAGCTGCCCAACCTCGAGAGTTTTCGCGCGTCGGGTCCTGGGAGGCGACGCTCGGTCGACACCGTTTTGAGAGCTGCTTTTCGGGATGCTCGAACTGGTTTCTGGGATGCGGTCCCTGAGTACGATGTGAGCAGCATAAGGCTGGACTCCCTTTGGTCAAATTGTCTGGCAAGGTCACGGGGCGATCATGAGCTCCAGGGCCCAGACCCCTTTGGGGGGGATGCTGATGGGGGGCATGGCCACAGCTGCCCAGGGACAGTGAGAGGATTGCAGCCCAGACGGCGAACTGGCCTGCTCTCCCAGAACGACCGCCATGCGGTCCCACATAGGGTTAAGGCGGGCATGTTCCTCTACAGGGGGAAAATTTAGAAATAGCCAAACATAGTCTGGGACGATTTGTTTAAAGTATGCTTGGCAACTTTTGAATATTTGTTGACTGTATTTTTTTCGAAAACCCTCCTGTAGAGGACATGCCCGACCCAAACACAGGGGTGCACGGTGGGTTCCCGCCGCGTTGACGCGGCGGTGATGCCCAGTGCGGGCGCTCAAGGCTGAACGCCAGCCTGGTGGCCCAGAATCGGCCGATGTCGAGCGATCTGCCCCATCGGAGGGCCGCGATCGTGCAAGGTGGAATGACCCGCGCGGCGTTTGAATGACGCGCCGACGATGCCGCGACGCGAACCTGCCGTACGGCGGGCCCGAGGTATAAGATCGAGGTCGGTTCGGGGAGGGTACCCTAGAGTTCTTCGTGCTTGTTTGATGCTCTTGTGCATGCTGCATTCTTCGTGCTTGGTGGTGTCTTGACCGGTGGAGGGCCTCAGGTTCTTGAAGGATATTCCCAGAGATCCGACGTCGTGTTTTTTTCAGTACGGGGTCCCCAGAAGGCTCGCCCCATCCCCCAGGACCGGTTTTTCATCCCGAGTCGTTTTTCAACGGTCCCGGGGCCCGGTGAGGGCCCCTGGAGGCCGAAAGCGGCGCAAAACCTCCGTCTTGATGTTTTCAAGACGTTGGACCTTTGGGTTCTTCTGTCCTTACTTGGCCCGGCCGTGAGCCACCAGAGTTCGGATGCAACTCCTGGGAGGTTCAATTCTGACTTTGCCCTGGTCCGAAATCCGGCTCAATCTGGCTCTTTCCGGCTTAATCTCGCTCAATCCGACTGAATCCTGCTTAGTCCCAGGCCCATTCCAGCGTAACAGCTCCCAAATGGGCTTAATCCTCCTTAATTTTTCCGACGAGAACCTCCCAGTAGTTGCCTCCTAACCAGAGTGGTGTAGCGGGGCACCTCGAGGGCCACCAGCCCTCGGCTCGGGGAGCCGCGACGGGAGCCGGGAAGCCAACTCCCGAGCGGGCCCGCACGCGTGGGATGGCGCGTCCCAGGCCTGGGACCCGCCAGGCGCGGCCAGGATCGGGGGGAGGCAGGATCGGGGGGAGGAGGAGGAGGAGAAGGAGGAGGAGGAGGAGGAGGAGGAGGAGGAGGAGGAGGAGGAGGAGGAGCAGGAGCAGGAGCAGGTGGAGGAGGAGGAGGCGGAGGAGGAGGAGGAGGAGGAGGAGGAGGAGGAGGAGAGAGGAGGGAGGAGCAGGAGCAGGAGGAGGAGGAGGAGGAGGAGGAGTTGGAGGAGGAGGAGGCGGAGGAGGAGGAGGCGGAGGAAGAGGAGGAGGAGGGGGAGGAGGAGGAGGAGGAAGAAGGAGGAGGAGGAAGAAGGAGAATAAAGGAATGAGGACCAGGACGTAAGTGTTTCCACCGCAGTTCGAGACGCTCTGGCTCCCTCTTGACTCGCTCACCCTGCCGCGTGAGACGTTGCCCCGGCCAGCCCCAGGCATGCACTGAATCCCACACCGTTCATTTGCACTACAGCCAAGACGCTGAAATAAGGAACAGCTAGGATTCGGAAGGGGCTCGATGTTCCTTACGTCCTTCCGCGGTTGTTCCTCTAGCCCTTCTCGTGCACCCAGGCTTTTTTGAAGCCACAGAGGGGCGTCGTTCCTTAGTTTGCGTTCCTTATTTCAGCAGCCCGACTGTAGACCCCTACTACTAGTTCGTCTCGGACATGCCCGCGGTGCCCTCTGCGCCAGCCCTCCTCCTGCCGGGAGCGACGCTGGCACCCCGTGGCACCCGCCGCCGACGTCCTCGGCATCTCGCCGCTGAAAGTTCGAGCAGGGGATCGACTGCAGATTTGATGTACCGGACTGCCCCCCCGGGGCCCCAATCGGAGGTGGGTAGACCTCCTGCCCTGACACGTCGATTAAGGAATTGGCCGTTTCCGGTTCGCGAGAGGGCGTCGCTGCCGTCATTATTGCGGGTCCAGGTCCGTCGGTTTCGGCCATGGGCCGTTTTCATTAAGGGGAGGTTTACTAAAGGTTATTGTGTTCCAACCTACTCTAGCCTTGATCACCAGAAAGAATTTCGAGCACCAGAAAAGTACCCAACAACTCGGGTTTTCACGTGTCGGGCCCTGGCAAGCACTCGTCCGACACTGTTTCGACACCGTTCCGACACTCTCTCGACATTTCTCCAGGTGCTCGAAACTATTTCTGGGATGTGGTCCTCAAGTGCGATGGGAGCAACATAAACTGAAGGGAGGCTTCTGTCCACTGCCGACCCAGACGGCACCCGCGGGGGAGGCCGAAGAGGGCGAATTGACAGCCGCGCCTGCGCGCCTCGGCCGCCGGCGTCTTTGACGCCGCCGGTGGCATGCGGGCGCCTGCTGCGGGCCCGCCATCAGGAGGGAAAGAAACACACAGGCACAAGTAATCGTCGACTCCCCAGAAAATATAGGAAAATATGGGAAGTGTGCGGGAAGACAAAAGCCCAGAACATATGGGAACATATGGGGAATCCTGTTGTTTGCGTGTATTTATTTGTGTGTCCCAGGGCCCCTTCACACCAGCCGTTCCCAGGCGTGCGGGCGCGATGTGTATCCACATCCGCTGCGTCGTGGATCTGCCCGCAGCGTAGAGGACATGCGTAGCAATCTGACCTCCAGGGGCGGCATGATTTTATCCATATCCACGGTGCTGCTAGCATCGGAGAAAGGGAGATCAAGACTCCAAGACGCAGTGGATTTGGGTAAGCGTCTTGCCCGCAAGGCTCCGTCTCGTGTCGCTTCCCCTCAGCCACGCGCAGACGGGGGTAGCCCAGACCTGCTAGATGGGGTCCGAGCAGATGGATTCGGAGGATCGCGCCGCATCGCCGATGCATCGAACATGCGGCTCGATGTGGAGCCCGTGTTGCCCCACGCCGACGTCGCCGATGCATCGCCGAGGTCTTCGATGCGTCGCCGACAGATCGGCGATGCATTGGCGATGCGGCGCGATCCGTCGACCCCATATGCTCGAAGCCCATCCAGGAGGGAGGGGGGGGCGGCTTCTAAGACTCGGAGCGTGAATTACCTACCCCGCTTTCGCTTCCAGGCAAAACCAAGTCACACCACGCGCCTCCTCGTCAAGCGGCCTGACCAGTACAGGCCGTAGTTTGGCATCGTTTGGTATCTCTTGGAAGCGAGGGTGGTCAAAAGCGAGGTAGGTTTGTTTTCCCCCGAAAGACGCTTCCCCCCCTCCCCCAACCCCCTCGTGCGCGCCGCCAATCCCTTCTGCGATCCCAGGGGGCCCGCTGCTCGACAGTGCGTCGTCGTCGCCGCCGTCGGCGGCGTCGGTCGTCGTCGTCGTCCGCCGTCCGTCCGTCCGTCCGTCCGTCCGTTCGTTCGTCAGTCCGTTCGCCCGTCCGTCCGTCCGTCCGTCCGTCCGTTTGTCCGTCCGTCGTCGTCCGTCCGTCCGTCGTCGTCCCTCGTCCTCGTCGTCGACGTCGTCGTCGTCGTCGACGTCGTCGTCGACGTCGTAGACGTCGCCGTCATCGTCGTCGCTGTTGTCGCCGAGCGTCGCCGTCGTCGTCGGTCGTCGTTGGCGTCGCAGCCATCATCGCCGTCGAGTTTCGTCCGTCGTCGTCGGTCGTCGGTCGTCGTCGTCGTCGTCGTCGTCGTCCGCCGTCGTGGCCTTCTTTCTTCTCCAGACCCCCTTCGGTTCCCGCGCAATTTCCCCCAGGACTCGCTAGACCACTCTGCATGGTCCTCGCTTTTTTCCGCCATCCCGCGCCCAGGTCGACGCTGTCCACCACCAACATGTTCCTCTTCGACGCGGACGGCAAGCTCAAGCGGTACGATACGCCAGAGGACATCTTGCGCGAGTTCGCACCCGTGAGGCATTCCAGGAGGAGGAGAGGGAGGAGGAACAGGAGTCGGAGCAGCAGGAGGGAGTGTAGGAGCAAGAAGAGGAGGGCGAGAGCATATTGTGCGAATTTGCGCTCATGAGGTCCTCTGGACTCTGGATCAAGGCTGTCTGAATTTGCCTGAAGGAAGACTGCCCAGAGTACCTGTATTGGATCACACCGTTGCCGACCTCGACTTCATCCACCATCATTGTCCTCTCCACGCCCGTCCTCCTCCTCCTCCTCCTCCTCCTCCTCCTCCTCCTCCTCCTCCTCCCTTCTGGCCTCGCCCCAGCCCCTCGGCCCTCCTGGGCATCCGCAGCCGGGGGCACTCGGGGGGAGGAGTTGGTAGACCGTGACGGGCAGAGCAGGCATGTCGGCCACGGTGCCGCTGCACTCACCCCCACGAACTCCGCGCCGGGGGGAGCGCGGGCAGGGCGGGGCAGGGAGCGCCTCGTCGTCTCCGGTGGCGTGTGCGATCGTGGCAGCCATCGGAGCCTCGCTCGCCCTGGCCCGTCAGACCCCGGAGGCACCAGGGGCCTGGGGCACTCAGGGGGGGAGTCGGGAGGATGAAGAGGAGGAGAAGGAGGAGGAGGAGGCGGAGGAGGCGGAGGAGGAGGAGGCGGAGGAGGAGGAGGCGGAGGAGGAGTAGGAGGAGGTAGGAGGAGGAGGAGGAGGAGGAGGAGGAGGAGGAGGAGGAGGACGAGGAGGAGGAGGAGGAGGAGGAGGGGCTCTAGCCACGGTGCCGCTGCACTCTCCCCCGCGAGCCTCGCGCCGGGGGGGAGCGCCGGAAGGACGGGGCAGGGAGCGGAGCGCCCCTATACTCGGCGGCCGAGGGCAGCAGCGGCGGCGGCGAGGCCGCGGGGAGCCCTCGCCTCGAGAGGGAGGAGCGGCAGCACCTCCCCGCACGCCTCCGGCCGGGGGCCGCCGCAGGAGGGCGTTGGCCATCGAGTCTCCTCCGGCGCTCCAGGACGCGGCAGTCGAGGAGATGCAGCTCCAGTGGGGCCCTGACTCAAGCAGTGGCCTATAGCCCCACCAAACAATGTTCTAAGAGCCTTTTGTGGTCTCCACGACATGTTCTTAGAACATGTCTGGTTGACATTCTCTGGTTTTTTTTTACAAACCGGTTTTATGTTCTAAGAGCGTTTTTGTTGTTGTTGTTGTTGTTGTTGTTGTTGTTGTTGTTGTTGTTGTTGTTGTTGTTGTTGTTGTTGTTGTTGTTGTTGTTAGAACACTTTTTTGGCTCCAAGAACATTTCGTGGTAGGACTATAGGAATGCTGGGACGGTCGGTCTCTGCTCAACATCGAGCGGCAGTCGAGGAGATGCAGCTCCAGTGTGGCCCTGACGGGAGCGAGGATTTGGAGACGTACGCTTCAGAGGGAGCTGAGCCGCCCTGTGACACACACACACACACACACTTTGCGCTCAGGACGGCATCGGCACCCATGTTGGTGTTCCACGAGAGTGGCCCGAGGAGGCCAAGGATAGGCTCTGGCAATCTCTTTCTCTGGGGCACCAGTCTGTCCGCGAGCCATCTAATTTCTTTCAACTGTCGCTTGCTCTTCGTGCTGCCCCAGTTTAGCTGGCATGTCTCGCTGACTCATTCGCTAGCTGGATCGCCGCCCGGAAGTCGTACTATTCCGAGCTGCATCGCATCCCCCCAAGAAGAAAAGGCAGCACTTTCGGGGGAGGTCCCATGTGAAGGCCCATGTTCCGAAACAGGGGGGGTTGGGGGTGGGGGGCAAACCTCGGGCAACGGTGAGCGATCCGAGAACCACTCGATGGTACATTGTGGCCTTTGTGTTATTGGCTGGCGCATCTTCGCGCGGCTGACAGGGAGATGCCCCTGAGGGCCAAGCATTCGTTTGCCCGTCTGGCCGACCTGGCGGAATCCATACCTCAGTTCCAGCTCGCCCCCCTCCCCCTGCGCATACGTCATCGCTGGGTCTGGTCTCTTCGAACCATTCGAGGATCTTCCCAGGAATGCTTGGTCAAGCTTTCGGAGGCTGCCCTCAAAGCCTCCCATCAAACCCAACGAGCAGTTCCCAGGCAGAGGCAGCATGGCCATATTTTCCATACAACATGTTGTGCAGGGCTCGGGCGTCATGCACCGTTTCGTTTGCGATCAGACGGCTGAAAACAGTGAGCTCAGGATCCAGGGGCAAACCACCGTGGACGCAGCCTCCATCATGGAGGCTAAAGCTGCTGTTTGGACCCAGCTTTGAACCCCTCAGGGGTTTCATGAGGCTTGCGCTTCTGGCCGTTGTCCAAGAGGCCCGTGAGCGGGCCATGGGTGATTGTCTGGCCCCTCTCTCTGAGGCGGACCTCGAGCGCGCGTTGCAGACTCGTCCTTCCCCCTTCCTCCGGCTCCCGCGGCCTTTTCGTTGTTGCTCCTGCGATGCTCCTCCGCCCGCCAGCCCGCCGGCGCCTCCAGGCTCGCGCTCTAC